GACCATTCTTCCAGAAGCGCATTTGTGAGGTCAGGTACTGATGTTGGACGAGAAGGCCGGGCTCGCAGTCTCCGCTCTAATTCATCCTAAAGGTGTTCTATCGGGTTGAGGTCAGGACTCTGTGCAGGCCAGTCAAGTTCCTCCACCCCAAACTCGCTCATCCATGTCTTTATGGACCTTGCTTTGTACAATGGTGCACAGTCATGTTGGAACAGGAAGGGGCCATCCCCAAACTGTTCCCAAAAAGTTGGGAGCATGAAATTGTCCAAAATGTCTTGGTATGCTGATGCCTTAAGAGTTCCCGTCACTGGTACTAACGGGCCAACCCCAACCTCGGAAAAACAACCCCACACCATAATCCCCCCTCCCCCAAACTTGGCACAATGCAGGCAGGCAAGTACCGTTCTCCTGGCAACCGCCAAACCCAGACACGTCCATCGGATTGCCAGACAGAGAGGCGTGGTTCGTCACTCCAGAGAACGCGTCTCCACTTCTCTAGAGTCCAGTGGCGGCGTGCTTTACACCACGGCATCCCACGCTTTGCATTGCACTTGGTGATGGAAGGCTTGGATGCAGCTGCTCGGCCATGGAAACCCATTCCATGAAGCTCTCCACGCATTGTGGTTGTGCCAATCTGAGGGCCACACGAAGTTTGGAGGTCTGTAGCCACTGACTCTGCAGACAGTTGGCGACCGCTGTGCACTGTGCGCTTCAGCATGCGCTGACCCCGCTCTGTCATTTTACGTGGCCTACCACTTGGTGGCTGAGTTGCTGTTCCCAGTTGCTTCCACTTTGTTATAAGACCACTAACAGTTGACCGTGGAATATTTAGTAGCAACGAAATCTCATGGAACACCTGAATCCAATGATTTAGAGGGGTATCCCAATACTTTTGGCAATATAGTGTATATATAACCTCTTACCAGTCCTTAGATGTGGTTGCTGCATTCTTTGTTTTCCTCCCATTTATTTTTACCTGGTGATACTGCCAGTAATACACTTCCCGTCCTAAGATGATAACAGTCAATAACCCTACTGTCTCAGGACAGAAATGGGAGAGGACTACAGGAACCTCCCCCTGTCCTCTTACCCATACCATAGATGGCAGGTCCTGTGGTCCCTAGAAATAGTTTAGAGCAATGTAACTTATAACATTCAGCATTGGGAGTTATCAGATGCATATATCTACTGCTTTCAATTCCATAAAGGAGGGACTTAATGTGCATTCAGGTTTTCTGACACACTACCAGAACTTTTTATGAATATACAGAACATAATAATGTTCATGTATGTCGCATACCCCTGATCTGTTAAGGGTTTATTGGTCATCCTATGTTTATTTGTTCTGTGTTTTAGTTATCGGGTTACATTCTTTACTCCCAGGTCCAACATTTATGACCCCCCCCCCTCCCTAACAACTTTCTCTTGCTTTAAGTGGTAAACATTGTCATGTTGATTAGTATTGCTTCTGACCTGAAGAAGAGAGGTTAACTCTCGAAAGCTTGTCTTTTATATATTTTGTGAGTCCAATAAGAAAGGTATCATCGCATACTACAATACTCAGTTTGTTTGTTTTTTTACAGCTTCTCTACTGGACTAATACGGCTTACCTACATTTACATTACATATATATATATATATATATACACACACACACACACATTCAGACAGGTATAATTGGTGCTAGCAGCAGCAAAGCTGAGCCATACAGGCCAGAATCTAGAGAAAGTCCGAAGGTTGCAGCACTCAAAGCTTTATTGTAAACAAGTAGCAAAGATTTGTTATAAGCAACAGTTTAGGGTTAATAACAGCCCTTCCTCAGGCAGGAAATACATCTGATTACAAAGTATCGGGCAAGGTAATATATACAAGCAGGAACCATAAGGAGCATAGATTGCTTATTACACAAGCAATCCAGAATAATCCATAAAGAGGCAAAACAACCAAATGGTAATGGTGTAAAAGAAATACATGCAATTGTGACATTTACAGTATTCGAGTAACCAGAACTCATGTGTACTCAATGTTAAGGTGCCTGAAAACCTTACAATTATCTACAGATTTTTGTCTGCAATTGCATTTTAGTCTGAAAATCTGACATTTGATGGGAGTGCACAACCTCAATTACTGTACAACTGGCAGACTTTTGTCTTTTCAACAGGCTAGAACATTTTCGACTAGTTTTCTTTTTTTGTTTGGTTAGACAGCTTGGACCAATTGCGCTTTGCCATTGGTCCACACCATCCACAGTAGAGTAGAGGCTGTGACAGCTCTTGCCTCACCAAGTTAGGACACACAAGCAGTGGGGAAGCCCGCTGCTGTGCAACCTAACTACCTATCGAAAGCCGGATGCAGCGCTGCCTGTAATTAATAAGCTGTGCTCCGTCCATGACAGGTTACACAACGGGGAGGATTTCCCTGCCATGTAACAAGCCGATCTGAATGGAGAAAAAGCGGTCAGCTTCAGACTTGAATCTAACCACTTTTTCCTCCATAATATTAGGTGAGG